CGGAACAATGGTAGATTGCAAAGCATTTTTAGTTAATGCATTTGGGATTCAAAACATTGCTTTTGAAATGAAAAAAAAAATTAAGTTAGTTGGCATTTCATTTGGCTTCAAAGACCATAAGGTGGTAACACAAATCAATGGAAATAATAGATAACTAATTCATTAAAAGAGGGAGAATGGAAAATGGGCAAGATCATGGAAGACTTTTAGGCTACACATTTGGTTTTAGCATGGTGGGATAAAGGGCTTCATTTTAACCACATTCCTCATAATCTTGAGTATTTATGATAAAACCTCAAATGTATAGTAATAATTCTAATTTACTTAGGTGAAAGCTGAATAAGGAGAGAGATTTAACTCTGGTAAGTAAAAGCACCAAAATATAACTTAGTTAAGTAGAGAAGATACTTTCAAAAGCATAAGCTTCCTATAGTCATCAACTTCTTAAGGGTTATTTGATTCAAATTAAAAGCTTTCACAATAATAAATAAAGGTTAGCTACAACCCCAAGGCACAGGAACCAGGGAATTTCTGGGAACTGAGAAAAGATTCCCATCTCTACTAGAGTAAACCTACTATTTTAATTTGACCCAGCACTCCTGAAATCACACTCCAGTGGACTCAGCTCTGAGACTCCGTGAGCTAAGAGCTTACAGAACTAGGACAATTGCAGAACTAGGGACGGGATCTCAAAAGGAATGTTCTAATTTAAGCTTACAGCCCTATAGTAACTTTAGAATAACTGCGATAATAATAATGTGGATACAAAAAAATTTTTTAAGGATAATCCTATACTTGGGAATTAAAACATACACTGCTAATTCTTAATTATAACAAAAAATAAATAAAAATGACAATTAGAACCCTTTAAAAAAAAAGCAAGGAAATTAGAAGTCCAGGATTACCTAAAAGAACCAGAAATTATACTCATATATTCTTCTCTAAAGAGAGCTACTCATATTATGTGTGAAAGAAAATCTATAATTTGATCAATAAACTAGAAGCCCAGTGCGCAAAATCATGGCCCCGCCCGAGCCCTGCCGTGCTTACAGCTCCGCCCACCTGCGCCAGTCTTTGGTCGTTACAGCCTTAGGGCCACAGGCCTTTTATAATATAGATGGGAAATCTGTCTTAGTGTGTGGTATCTAGAGTCAAGGTAGTACCAAGCCACTAAATACAAATAGAGCATGTTTAGCATACAAAATACATAAATATAAACAACTCACATGTTAATAATAAATTGAAAGAAAGGTTCAGTAACCTAGTTGAAAACTATTGAGGCATTTTAGCGGAATATGTAACTTCAATTGACATGAACGGCTAGTAGCAAAAACTGCCTGGGATTAATTCTGCACAATGTCTGGCAAAAGACCAGCCTGTGTAGGTATAATTACCACGTACTGCTAATGTCTTCTGCCTACCGTCCAATTCATGAGACTGTATTAATTTCAAAACATAAGCAAGGTCTATCCTAACAAGGGGACCACGATTTCAATTTAGGAATATGAAGCTCCTATTAGTTTGCTTTGTTTTCTACGATGGCAACTGTCATGGCTGGATGAAAGATATTCCCACTAAACCAATAAATAAAATTGGCAAAGGAATGCATCCATGAAACACCGAAGTGTCGGTCTTCAGTGCACACTTACAGCCTAGTGGTACCCTCAGAACTATACATCAACCACTGATGTCATTCTGAGGGTTAGCATGGCATTGGCTGATACCCAGAGATTCTGAGCTTCCTGCCAGATAAAAGACAAATACGCCAACTGGGTATGGTGTGTAACTTGCTGCTGTTTAAAAAAACAAAACAACAATGCCAGATTATAACACTCTTTGTCCACAAAAATGCCTGACATTTCTGGCTTAAGACCTTTCGGGTCTAATAAACAACTCCATTTCTTATGACAGAAGTTTCTTTCATTGATGGATTTATTAAATAAACAAACAGTTCATCAGTTTACAGAATGTGTTATTTCACACAATTTAATATGAAAGAACTAGCAGGTGGTACTATTAAGAACCATCAGTAGTAGCAATTGTTTCATAGATGACCAACTTAATCCACGCCTGGAACACTGCCATCCTTTATGAGGTTTTTCCATATAACACATTCAACGTTTTAGTGCCCATCTACCCAGGGTGTTTATGAAATCCTTGTGCAACTTTAAACTTGACCTATCCCACTGAACTATATTTTATGGGACTCTGTTAAAACTGCTGTGTATTCATCCAGACGACATTCTTTAAAGGAACTCCGAGCCAGGATCATGAATGCAACTTATGAAATCACTCGGCAGCAGCTGGAGAATGTTTTCAATGAGGTGGAAAATCAGACTGAAAGTTGGATCACCAAAAAATGGTGATTATGTTGAAGTCTATAAATTTAAACGGAAATTTAAACGGCAATGTCAAAGTCCAATTTAAGTTGTTTTAATTTTTTTTAATTTTTTTCAGTCACAAATACAACAAAGATTAAGGTTTAGAGCTAACATGGAAATTTTAAAATGGCTATGCTGTTATATACTTCTATTACAAATTTTATTATTTTTCCCATGTTAGGAGACTATTAGCAACTCATTTGAAAACATCTTACAGGGCGGTGGGGGCTTGCCTGGGATGGGAATGGCTGGGGGTGGGGGGTAGGATCAAGCGGGGAGAAAAGGAGACATATGTAAAACTTTAGACAATAAATAAAATAAAATAAAAGAAAATAAATAATAAAAGAAAACATCTTACAGCATCCTATAAAGGCTTCTATATTTTAGAAGTCACTAATTCTCCAACTGACAGTCCATTTTTAAAAAAATATTATTATTTATAAAGATGCATATTCATAAGTAAAGCATTTCCTACTAGGTTTTGAAAGGAGAAAACTCAGTATGAGAGAGATCAGTTAACGTGTTAAAATAGAAGGTGACTAGAGACAATGTAGTATCCTGGATTCAATCCTGGGACAAAAAAAAAAAAAGGATATTAGTGGAAAAACTGACAATTTCTCAGCGCTAACAAATCTACCATGCTGTGTAAGATGTGATTGAAAGATATAAAAAACACACTGTGCTATTTTTACAGTTTTTCTATAAATCTGAAATTATTCCAAAATAAAAAAGTATTAATTTTTTAATGTGATAAGAATATTGACAACCTCTGTACTTTCTTCTCTACCTTTCCTCTTCTCACTGATTGTGACACATTTTATTTCCTCAAGCTGGTCACAAGGTCTCCCATCACATTTCCCCCTTCAGAGCTGTTGTTTTCTTCTCTCCACCCTTGAATCTGGGAACACCCTGATGCTACTTGGATCAATGGAACATGGTGACAATGATGCTTGTACGGGTTCTGGGTGTAGCTCTTAAATGACCTGGCAGCTTCTACTTCCTGCGTCCATGATTGCTGACTCCCAGCACGCACCCACCACTTTATGAGCGGTGCTAGGAAGAGGTATTCTTTCTCACAGCTTAGCCTGAGCCAGCATCAACCGGCAGCCATGTGAGTCAACTACTCTGGACATCAAGCTCAGCCGAGCTTTGTAATGACAGCAACTCCAGCTAACACCTGATTACAACCACATGAAACAGCTCAACCAAGAGCTGCCCAGCTAAGCCCAGTTAACCCACAGGAATATGGGAGATAATAGCATTATTATTGGTTTATGCCACTAAGTTTGTGTGGTTCGTTTCACAGCAAAAGATAAGTAGGACATCGGTTCTCAACAAAATGAAGCCACTGCTCAGTTGTATATCTGCAAGTACCAGAAATAGAAAGTCTGGAAAATAGATCTGAAAAAAAATAGTAATTGTTTCCCTCTTCACTTTACTGTTCTGCTTACTTTTCTTCTCTCTGCAGAATTTATTGACTAAAGCAGTTAAGATCAATACCCAAATTTCAGGGGGGGGGAAATGCTCAGCTGGAACTTCATGGGAGAATCAACTTTTTTATGTTTACCAAGAGTCAGACATATCAATTCACAAATGCTCGGCCAATAAATATTTTTTTAAAGGGACATGAATTACTCATTGTTTTTTCTTACCAAATGATATTTTAGTGAGTCTCAATGGCTAGAGCAAGTAAGCCAAGCAGAAGTTGTAAGAATATTTATCTAAAATTAGCTATGTAACCCAAAATAATAATAGCTAATATTTATCTCAGATATTCCTCTCAACCCTATGAGGTAGATCCTCTTACTTTCCCCACTTTACATATAAGGAAAAGGAAGCTTAGCAACATGCCCAGGTCACCAGGTCAGTTAGGGTACAAGCCAAGTTTCAAATCCAGTTTGTATCCACAGTCTAAACCCTTCCACTACACTTCTCCTGATTATGATATTTTTAGACTAAAGGTTTCTTTCATACATTTTACTATAATAGACCATAAAAAATTCTTCAACAGTAATCAAATTAGCATATTTCAAATTTGGTCAAACATTACATTCCAGAGAAGAGATTTATATTCTTAAAAGTTTTTTTTTCCCAGTAAAAAGTCTCTTTTATTAAAGCAGTGCTATAACCTAAATGTTTGTGTCTCCCCAAAATTCATAGGTTAAAACCCTAACCCCCAAGGTGATGGTACTTGGATAGAACCTTTGGGAGTTGATTGGGTCATAATGATAGAGCTTTCATGTACGGAATTAGTGTCTTTATAAGAGATCCCTCACCCCTTCCTCCATGTGAGGACACAGCTGGAAGATGGCCTGTGGGAACCAGGAAGTGGGCTCTCTCCAGACACCGATCCCACAGCACCTTGATCATGGACTTCCTAGCTTCCAGAACTGTGAGAAATAGATTTCTGTTGCTTATATGCCACAGGTTTGGTTTATGGTAATTTTGTTACTCCACTCAAACGGACTAAGACAGGTAGCTTATAAATAAGTAGGCAATTTAGCAAAGAATCTTTTGGGTTAATTACTATGAGCACAATATATACCTATGAGCCTTGGCATAATTAATGCTCTGAAATGTAAAATGACCCAATCCTCTTGATTCTACCCCTAAAATTACCTCTAGAAGCTGTTTTCCCCTTTTGTCTTCACTGCTACACATCCAGTCCAGGACGTCATTTCTTGCCTCGACCATTGCAGATGGCTCCCAAATGTCTCCGTGTCTCAACCCTGTTTCCTCTTCAGACCATGCTCTGTATATACTGCTACCACAGTTCTATCCTTAAAACATATATGTGATCATTTTCTTCCACTCAAAAGAAAAACACTTTCCAAGTATTTGAAAATCAAAGTTCAAAAAAGTTAGTATAACATGCCCCCCTCATATTGCTGCCCCTCTCCAGTCCCAACCATCTTTCCGATATCACTGCTCATTATATTTCATCAAATATTATTTGCTTTGAAAACACCATCTTTCAATATTCTACTTACTATTGCTAAACTTGGGTTTGATTGTTTTATTTCCCCGCATTTTGTTTTTAAGAGAAAAATGCATGCTTATGAGTACAGTACATACCTACTTCTTAAATCTAACCACTCAGATCACCTGGCTAGATCAGGAGTGGAGGAGAAAAAGAATAACATCCAGTGTACCTTTGAAGGGGTCAAATATTAGGATGTAAGCAATTTATTTTTACTCCAAAAAAAGAATGAACTAGGCAAGTAGGGATACAATTAAAAGTAAGTACAGGTAGGAAAAGGAAGACTGTTTGATGAGGAAAGTCACCTGCTTAAAGTGAGGACTGGCAGAAAGCTCAAGAGGAGGGAACATGTCCATCAGCCTCTGTGGGCATATTAGCACAGTGGTTCTCAACCTTGGCTGTACATTAGGATCACCTGGGGAGATTCTAAAGGTCATTTACATCAGGATCCCTAGCAGTAGAACCAAGGCATTGATATTTTTTTAGAACACCCCCAGGTGATTCCAGTGTGCAAAGTTGACATCCACTCTGTTAAGACAAAGCTGACGAAAAAGGAAAAAAGAAGAGAGTTGACAGCTCAGATAACAAGAAAGCAACAATATATTATAGTGCCCATAAACATAATTATAATTTTCTCCAGGAACGCTTAGTATAGATAGCATGGGGGCAAGGGCATAAAAGGGAAAGGTTGGGTTTATCCGGAGTTGAAAACTGGCAGGGACCAAAATAATTGGGACCTGATCTCACAGTACTGCAGTGATTGGCCACAGGCTCCAGGCCGGATAAGAAAAGAAGTCAGGATGTGGTGAGAGACTGAGCACATGAAAGCTGTCAATGAGTCAGATGAACAAGCAGGAATAGTGGCATGAAAGAGAGACCACCTGACCTGAGAATAGGATTTCTGGGTTGAAGATTTAAGATTTCAGAGGAAGCATGATTCAGAGTGGCTATAGAGCAAGGCCACAGCAGAAAATTGCTACGGTAGAAAAGGTAAAAAGTCATTGGCAAGGAAAGCTTTGGAGAATAAGGGATTGGGGTTAGGGCATCATCATGGATATTAGAGTTGCCCTGTCTGACTATAGGAGCTGGGAAAGGGAAAAGGCCAAGTCAAAGGGGCCTTTGAATTCTGGGACTCGATCTCAAGTGAGTAGAGGATGGCAGGTGGTATGAAGCTCAGGAGATGGTGTCCTTATTAATGAGGTCGAAAGGAAAGGGACTGAAGTGGCAGGGTGGCAGCAGGAGAATGACAACCCCCATCACAGAATGAGCAGCATCCGTCTGAGAGGCATAATCTTGTCAATTAAAGGAAGAAAATGGAAGAGCATATTTTCAAACCTGTATTTGTTCTTGCCTCTTTCACCCACAGTTCAATGTTCATCAACGGCTTCCACTTCTCTTAAGACAACGACATTATCAGGACCCACAAAGTCTAACATGATCTGGGGCTGCCTAACTCCGCAGCCTCATCTTTTTTAAAAAAATATATTGTTACTTATTTCATAGAGGAAGGAAGAGGGAGAGAGAGATAGAAACATCAATGATGAGAAAGAATCATTGATTGGCTGCCTCCTGCACGCCCCCCTAATGGGCATCAAGCCCACAATCTGGGCATGTGCCCTTGACCAGAATCGAACCTGGGACCCTTAAGTCTGCAGGCCGATGCTCTATCCACTGAGCCAAACCGGCTAGGGCTCCACAACCTCATCTTAACTTGTTTACATCTGCAAAGACTATTTTCAAATAAGGTTACATTCATAGGTATTGGAGGTTAGGTTTTAAACATATCTTTTTGGAAGACACAAGTCAATCCCCAATACATGCTAACCACGCATTCGTCTAGGTCAGTAGTTCTCAACCTTGGCTGCACATTAGAATCAATCTTTTTAAAATCCTGATTTCTGGGCCTCATCCTCCGGAAATTCTGTTTCTTTGTTATGGGGTGGGGCCCCAGAAATCAGGATTTTAAAAAGATTCCCAGGTGATTCTAATGTGCAGCCAAGGTTGAGAACCACTGTTCTAGGTAGTCTAAATACTACTTTTCTACAAATTCAGACTACTGGAAGGCAGCATATCTGCACTCAATTCACTTAATTCACTTCACTGAAGGTTTTTAGTTTTTCAGTAAAATGCCCTTTATTTATATTAAAAGATTTAAAAATATATGAAAAAATATATTGGCTTCTACAAAATCACAACTGAACACAGCAACTATTGGTTGTTGTTTTTAAAAAAGCCTTTTTATAATTACCATGTGAAAAGTTTATTTCTCCTAATGGCATTGAAAATGTTTCTTTTGTGTGTAAATTAGGAAGCTTAGTAGTCTATAAGGTGTCCCAAAAAATGTATACACACTGTAATAGCTGATAGCTCAATTTTGAAAACGAAACGCATTTTAATAAACACTGCCTTTATAATTACTCAAAGTGTGTGTATACATTTTTTGGGACACCATCTATACTACAGTAGTATACTTATACCTAGTAGCCCATATTATAATACTATAGATGTCCGGGTTAGAGTTTCTCAAATTTTGGTGTGTATCAAAATCATGAAGGGAGAGGGCTCCGGAGGGAGATGATTAAAATCACAGGTGCCTGGGACCCACTCCAAGCCTACAAACCCAGAATTGAAGGGGATGAAGCCCAGGCATATGCTCTTCTGACAAGCATCCAAAACGAGTCAAATGTACGCTAAGTTTGAGTATCGGCAAGTAAGAGTTTTTTCCACCCTTCCTCCCCCACCTTTATTCTCAGGGGTATATAATTTGCAAATTCTATTCAATGGTCTTGTGGTCTTCATGTCCTTTTTTGCAAGCTATATATTTTTTAATATTTAAATTTAAGATTAACAAATAATTTATAAACATTCTATTTATGAACTACTCATTTGACATTATACTTGTGACTATATTTTATGTCCTGCCACACTTTTTTTCCAAATATGACATGCATTCTTAAATAGATGGCTTTATTCATCCTCACCATATCCCTCTGTGCTATACTAGAAGGAGGAACTATTATTCCCTTTAAAGATGAAAAATAAAGGTTCAAGTCCAAGTCAAACTATTTATTAAACACTTCTAATGTTCAAGACTGCTAAGTACCACCTCATCAGGACAGGTTATATAGCTATGGAGGTGCATCTCTACATACAGAAAGGTTAGGTACCGCTTCCTAGCCTACTGATTCACCATGTCCTGTTTGTGCAGAATTAAACTGGCTGGGCAGTTCAATCATGTTAATTCATCAGTATAAGTAGCCATGAACAATTCTGAACTAGAGCTCCAAGTTCAAGTACTTCCTTCTTTCCACATTATTTTTCTCGTCTTCACATATAAAAACTTATTAAAAACCTCCCAAATTTAAGATAATAAGGTACTACAAAGTACTATAATAAGGTGGAAAAAAACCGTATTAGTCGCCATGGCCCTTCTATAGTTGAAAGAATCCAAAAAAACATATAGTCGGTTTGAAGTCTTTTGTGAAATCCCTTGAGAGACTCAACTATTGACTGTGGTTAGAATACATTCAAAAGTATAATCAGATTGCATCATCACCATCACCTGCTCAGAGGGAGCTGGAGGAGCATGTGCCCACGAGGCTGAAGCTGGCTTATTGTGCTACACTCTCATGCGGGCTTGCCAGGAAGATTAGTCACCATTTTGCAGCTGGTTTCAAATTCAGTTGCTGCGATACAAGTGCAGATGCAATGGCTTACCCTAATTACACTGCTCCAGTGTAGGCTTTCCATTTGTAGCGTGCTATGTACTAGCTAGAATTCAAGGCTCTGAAAATTGGTTTCAAATGGAGGAGACTTCAAAATCACACATTTGTGACCCTCCACTACAGCTTGTTAATCACATTTCATCACTGTATCTTTCAGATCTTCTGAGTCCACCCTAAAGGTGTTTTTAGCTAAGTCATCACTGAATCTTAACAAAAAGCCAGGAAAAGAAGTTCTTTAAAACACTTTTATAAAAGAAATAAAAATCTTCAAAGTTTTTTTTTAATATTTAAAAAAACTTCCATTTTCTCTCTAATTTGCATTAAACATACTAGGAAATTCTAAGGAAATTGATCATAATCACTGGTTTCTAAACTTCGCTTGAAACTTTAAAAAAAAAAAATCCCCAGCTTCACCTTACCATAATGAGTCGTAATTTAGAGGTTTTTTAAAAATTAATCTATAAATTAAAATAAAGCTTATGCTGATTGCTTCTGAGAGTCAGAAGGAAAGAAAAACAGGTTTCTGCCTATCTCAGGCAGTCTTTTTACTGCTTGTTATTGTCCATATTTGATAAATGCCTTGTCAGAAATGATATCCATACAAATAGATGAGGTAAATCAGAGGCACTTTTAAAATAAAATAAATAAAATCCTAGCATCATCAGAGCCTCAGAAGCTAATCAGAAAAAAAGTTCCAAGAAAATATTTTTGGATGTAGACAATAATAAATAGTAAAGCACGGATTTCCAAATAGCCTTGATTTTTTAACCCTCTATTTCAAGCTTTTTTTCTTCAAAATAACTTTAAAGTATGATTTTGAAGGTATAAATTTTAAAATTTTGATTATACATTTCTACTCTCCTGTTTCTTAATTAGTCATTCATTTCACACAAGTGCTAGGAATATATTGATAAACCACAACAGACAACCAAACCCATGTCCTCGGCAACATATGGCATCATTAAAAATATTACAATAGTTCTATAATTAAAATATAGCATATTATAAGAAATTCACATCAATACATTTCAAAATGCCTTCGGGGATAAAAATAACACATTCAAATTATAGTCAAC